AAAAAAAAAAAAAAAAAAGTAGCCAGACCATAAGAAAAAAACATAAAGACTATTTATGGGCAGGTCCCTGAGGTCCCTGAGAAATCTAAGCTGTAATCAGGAGGACAGGCTACTCAAAGCAAAGCCCTAACTGACCTCCAGGGAAAGCCTATCAGAGGAAAATTAAACAAAACATTTGATAAAAATAGAAGAGAGCCCCAGAGAGTCGAATGTCATCCATGCAGAGCGCTTTACAGTTCAAAGCACTTAACCAGATTTGTCATTTCACATAATGTGTACTTGACAGCAATTCGTGAACATGGTCATCACAGTTTACAGACGGGGAATGGAGCTTGAGAGGCACAGTGAGCTATGGGGTGGCCATGTGCACCCAGGCTTTCTCCTGGGGTCTGGCCCGATGACCCTACTTTCTTTACGCTTCTTGGGGGGCAGGTGGGGCCACTGCTCAGGAGAGAAAGGGGAAGAAGGTACGTTACAAATAGCCCACGCCTCAGGTTGCAGTAGCCTGACGTGCATCTGAGGCTATGCCCAGCACAGTCTGTTACTTCTACTGTCTCTATTTACTTACTTTTAGGGGAGGGGGCAGCATCTCACCCCCAGCCTGAGTGGGGCTACGCGCCTTCCGCTTTGCCGGAGGACTGAAAGTACTTAACTATTTGCACTATTTTTAGAAGGAGGTTGGGTGGCGGAACCCAAGTGATGGGAAATGAAGAGCAGATAGGAAATTTGGAAACTAGCCATGGGAAGAAGCCTGGTGCACAGTACAGGTGGTTGAGATACATACTCGGAGTCTGAAATCAGCTGGAGAATCATTCGGACCTCTTGAAAATCACTAGTGTCTCAGGGGTACCCTAGGATGAGAAAGCTGAAGAAAATAGTATTTTATTCTGCCCTTTACTTATTAACATCGGTGAAGTAGAAGGCAGCGGCTGGGCTGTGAAAAGGCTCAAGGAGGATGTTAGGAAGATCCTAACATTCAAAATACAGGTTGAATCACAAAAAACGTAACAATGAGGAAACACAAAGGTAAATGGACAAGATGTTCCCGCCGTGAATAAAAAAATCCACTGCAGAATCCTGAGGGAACTCAAGAGCAAAGCTGGAGCAGTTGGTAAATAAGGAACCTTTGGTGACCTCGCCTCTTTTGCTAACTTTGAATTTTCCCAGAGAGTTCAGGGAAGGGATATTATGCTTAAAAAAGACTGTTCCCCTAGAGATGTCAGCTTAAAATGCTGCCGTAAACAAAGAGCCAAAGAACCAAGTTTGGGGTAAGAAAGTTAGGAGGAAAACAGCATTTTCTCAGCTTCACAAAGGCACCTGGCTGCTCTGGTTTTGTGTGGTTACCACACCTGAAGGAGGATCCTGGCGCTGAATCAGATGGAGGGTCTGCCGTGTGAACATAGTATTTACAAAGGGATTAAGATTCTGTACTGGGAAAGTCAGAATCGAACAGGCTATAATCAAAGTCTATAAAGTGATAAAGTATCAATTAGGTCAATGTGGCAGACGACTCATCAAATCCAAATTACTTAAAATAAGGAGCTGCCCTTTGAAGCGTGGGGATTAAATACATAATGGGGAGTTTTAATCATATATTAGGATAGAAATTTATAGACGTGAAAGCCAAAAATATGGACTGATCCATAAAGCACTGCTTAATCATTAAGTCGTGGGCCTTCCTGGGAAGCCAGGGCATTTTAAACGAGGTCATGTTCACGGCCCCACAGCAGTAAATTACAAGGCAGCAGGACTGGGCTAAGGGGGTCAGGACACAGATGCATGAGTGCTTCCTGATCCTCGTGAGACAGCTGGGAGGGAACGGGTTACTTTTCCACGGTGGCTCAGGAATAAACACGCAGAGGTGGCTGTGCCGAGCCTTGCTCAGACAGAATGAGGGAGCAGCAGGGGAAGGACGAAGGGTGGTGAAGGGGAAACCCCCAGAAGCACTGAGGCCGCACCATTACTGCGGGCTTTTGAGTTATGCTGGCATCTGGTGGTGGTTCCTGTGAAAAGCACGAGGAAGACCCGGGCGGCGTTCAATCCCCTGTAATTTTAGGGAGAGGCGTGGCCAGGTTTTGTTCTACTCCGTTCCTCCACACAAACGCCTTCCAAAAAGAGATTACTGTTCACCTGAAGCCAAGAAGCTGCGGGCATGGCTGGGTGACTAGGATTATGAACAAGCTATTGTGCTGGGGTTTTGAGGCCCACACAGGCGCACCCCCACTGGGCTGGGAGGGGAGGTGCTGTCTGCTGGCACCCGGCTGCCGCTCCAGCCTGAGTGCATCCTGAGGCTTCAAGGAGAAGGGGACCTGGGGCAAGAGGAGGGGGAGGGATGGATTTTTCGAGGGATGCTGTCAGGTTGTTACGATGCTAAAGCCATTCATTAGATTAAGGGAACTGGAAGTGCTGGTAGGTTGGGGGCTGGAAACCCTTAAAATCATAAGGGGGACAGAAAGCGTAAATCCAACCCGCGATCGCTGTCTAAAGTGAACCGGGACAGAGTCACACGACAGACAAACTAGTGACAAACTTTTGAATCAAATCTAACTTTTCAACTATGAGTGAAATCACATCAGTTCCATGGTCTCCACTTGGTGGTATTTACCCAGAGGGGCTGCCCGGAACTCTCACTCCGATCAAAGAGGTTTTATTCTGTCATAGGTGTATCCGTGTGCTCTGAATTATGAAGGGCATATGAACCAAGAGAAGTGCAAGCGTTGTCCACCGAATGGGTTTTTAGAAGCCCTTTTCTGTTTCCCTTACACCTTGAAGCGGTTTGAATGGGCACAGTGAGAAACGGGGAAAGGGAGACATAAAAACATTTTGAGACAATTGTTTTGAAACAGGAGGCGGAATAACAGGAAGTGTTTTCGGTCAAGGGCAAGTTTAAAGATACGCGTTGGTTGCATTCCTACCTCCGTCTGTACCATGGACATCCGGTACGCCCTCATTTCTGACACCAGCCCCAAAATGTCGACAAACTCATGCTCCCGAATGTGCTGCAGGAGCCTGTCCAGGGCAATGAACGTTCCTGTCCGGCCAACGCCAGCGCTGCAAGAGTGTTCAGACAGCACATTACTCAGACGGCGCCTCTACACGCTGAAAACAAAGGGGCGCTTAGAACGGAACAGGGAGCGCCACTGAGAAAAAACACTGAACTCCTGACAGCATTTTCCACTTAACTGATTTTTCAACCATGCAGTTGTGGTTGGTGTGTCTTCTAATATCACATTTCTGACTATCACTGCTGCTTCCGTTTAAGAGGCCTGGGTCTGGCCCAGGCGGAGTGGCTCAGGTAGTTGAGTGTCCGGTGCACCGAAAGGTTGCTGGTTCAATTCCTAGTCAGGGCACGTACCTGGATTGTGCGTTCAATCCCTGGTTGGGGTAGGTATGGAAGGCAACCGATCGATGCTTCCCTCTCACATTGATGTTTCTCTCTCCCTTCCTCTCTCTAAGCATGTCCTCAGGTGAGGGTAGAAAAAAAAAAAAAAGAGATACAGGTCTACACTGCCTCACCCCCCCCTTCCTGACAAAGGTGATAATTGCCTATGGACCTGGCTAGAGAGTCGGTTCCTGCCCTCGGGGGAGCTAGACACATAAACAATTCCAGCCTTCTGAGCAGCCTCAGAGTTAAGTCCTCACACCCAGCTCAGAAGTCTAGCTGCGATGCCCACAACTTAGCTCCAGCTCTGGGGCCAAATCAGTTTGTGTGCCTTCAGCCCCAGGGTGAGTTCCCCATTCCAGACCTTCCTTACAGCACAGCTCCCTTCTGGTGAGTTCTAGGCCTGCTTCGATCTCCCAGGAATCTTCTAGGTAATTGCATCAAAATCAGATTTAGTATTTGGACCCCATCAATCACAGTCCCCGAATCCTAGTGCTTGTAGAGAGTAGAGGGAAGTGGAATGATTTGTGCTGACCAATTGCCCATCACAGTTCTGCATGTTGAAGTCAGCTCTTCTTTTCTTCCAGTCACTCAGCCTAAAGGGCCAAATGCTTCCAAACTCTGAATTATGATGAAATGTGAGAAAAGAGGAAGTCAAAACTAATTTCTATGCAGAATTGGCTGGGAGAGAAATCCAACAGCGAAACTCACTGTAGTTCAGAGCCCTAGTTTGCTTTTTGGACTGGACAACCCTTGCCTCCTAGGACTTATCTTCTCAGGTACAGTGTTCTGCCCCTGGGTGAACACCTGTAAAGTCACATCCAGAATTGTCCCTGCTGCCTGCTGTGAAAGGAAGCATGAGTTTGACCACATGGTTGAGCAGCTTTGTTTTCAGCTTTTGGAAGGAACAATTGTGAGATTAGATAATTTCATCTTGGTGAAGCAAGTTTGTAACCTGTGAATGCCTAAGGTGAACCAATAGTAAGGATATCCTTGCTGATCAGAAGCTTGGTAACTTACGAGGCATTTTTCAGGGAGACACATACTCCTCTGTCTTCCCCGCCTCTCCCCACCCAGTCATTCTAGTTCACTGAAGCCCAGGTGCCAGCTAGATCCAGGGTTGAGATCTATTTGCTCATGCTGACATGGCTGCCAGGGCCTCCTCTAACATCTTTATCTTACTTCTATTTCTGATATACAATAAGGGCATATTTATATCCCCTGCTCTTCAGAGCTTGCATACAAAATTTGCAACAATATGTGACACCAATGGATTTTGATGGAGCTTTGTTCACTTGGTAAGAAAGAAAGCTTAAATTCAAAGATAACTCTACCCATGAGGAGTTCACATGGTCCTCAGTTCTGATAATGCAATAGATCCTAATACCCCCTTTCATAGCAATCATAGCAACTATGTTTACCTCAATGAGCTCAATGTTCTCACCTTTCCTTCACCTGGCTTTTAATCTGTTTATATTATTCTCGGCTGCGGTGAGCTATTTTTAATTTGACCTTGAATTTGGCCATGTTGTGAACCACTCAGAGAGTCCTTGATAGGACAGGGTAATATCACACAGGGCTTAAAGGCATGTCTGTGGAGACTGGTGTGGCTGGATTTGAACCCTAACTCCTCCATGTTCCAGTTGCAAGAACTTGTGTGAACGAACCCCCTAACCTCTCAACTCCTCAGGGGTTTTTTTCATCTTAAAAGGGAATAATAATATCTATCTTATAGACTACAGGATATAAGATGGCCATTTATAAGTAAATAATGTATCTAGTAAGACCTCAGTTAACCTTTAAAAGACGGCATTTAAATTCCGTCAGCATTTAAATTCGGCCAGTGGGACCCACTCCTTGCCGGGAACTAAAGTTCCCTTTCATCGGATAAAGGTTAATCATAAATTTTTTAAACAATCATAATTCATTTTATTGTTAATCTGATCAGGAATTTATGAACTGGTTGGCTCTTTTTTTTTTTTTATAAAATAGAGTCATGGTGCTTAACAGAAAATGCATTTGATGACGTTACCTGCAGTGCACAACCATGGGGCCTTTGCTCTTGGTAGCTTGCTGCCGGACCACGTGTACAAACTGCAGGATACTTTCTGCGGCGTTTGCTGTGGGCACGCCGTGGTCAGGCCATGCAGTGTAGTTAAAATGCATCACATCCTGCATCTCGTCAGCCTTCAGGAGAAAGAGCCAAAGAAGCGTTAATCCCTCAGTCCCGGGGCAGGATGGCCCAGGCCTCCGCTGCCGCTCACGTGACTGGCACCAGAAGGTAAAGCCACATTCCACTCCTGGTCTGCATACTTCCCTTTCCAGCTCTGAGCATTGTGTCTGGCATAAAGCAGGACTTAAAAAAAAAAAAAAAATACTAACTGTATAAAGCTTCAAATAGTAGGATAAATGGGCTAGTCCATGCCTGTGTAGAGATAAGAGCTTAAGCAGATTAGGGTTTGCATCCCAGCTTTTGCTATTTAGCAATTGCTTCAGCTTTGGCCAATGCATTAAAAACTGTGGAAGGAGCTGTTGGGGTCCCCAGCTGCTGCCAGCAGCGTAGAGCTGCACCCTTCTCATGGTCATGCCCCACCAAGCAGAGCTGACTTGCTAGAAAATGCCTAAGAGCTCCTGTTTTCCTGCTCAGGGCATTCCGCAGCTAACCAGTGACTGATAATGGGGTACAAAAAGCTACCCCCATTATGGCAGGTGGGACAACTAAGTCTACAGTGCCATCTATGCCCCAGTACTGCCCCTGGGACCCAGCTGAGCTAGACTTCAGCTGCACCCATAGCTGTGCGTGGCCCCTTCCTTGTCCTGTCCCGTCCTGCTTTCCTTGCTCCCTAGATTACACTTTCAAAACATCACCTATTTAACAAACCCTGTCTTGGGGCTGATACTAGGGGGGTTGACTCAAGGCAAAGTCACCAAACACCAATTTTCTCATACCTAAAAAGGGCCCTTTCAGATGCTGTCGGGTGACCTGACCTGTAACAAGGGCTGCCGTGGGGTTGAGGAGTGCTCGCTCATGTTTGTGAAGGATGGTGCCTGCCAGCTATTATCAACACCACGGCCACGTCATTCCTGCCACTCACTCCAGCCAGCTCAGGGCAGGCATATGGTTGGTTCTGGGAACCCTGGTAAGTGGGTGCGTTTGTATATTTATCTTGTACATATTAACCTGTGCATCAACTACACATATTATTGTTTCCTCTGAACTGAGTCAGTATCAATTAGGATGTGGGTCTTCCAAGATTCACTCTTTTTAGTCCCTGCTAACTTATAAGCATAAAGATTTATTCTGCTCTTATTATCAGTATTCCAAACCCAGGTCTCACGAAGATCTAATGCATCCCCTTTCCTCAAACTTGGTCAGAGCCTAGAACTCACTCAGTGGATGAAATATTCATAATTTGGGAGAATTGGGCCTGGCTGTGAGTTTGGAGCTAAAGTTTAGGCTCAGGTATTAAAGAGAAATGAATCAATAAGTTCTAAAGAGTCAGTGGTCTTGGGTGGAGTAAAATTTATATAAATAAATGTATACATGAAGTATATAAACATATATGTAATAAGATTTGTATAAATATAAATAAGTCAGCACTTCAACTAGACCCACTGTCCCCTTGGCACCTAAGGCCATACACCCCCAGCAGTACACAGTGCCTCCCTCGCTGTGGGTTCTGTCTTAGACACCCAGAGCCTAAAGTCTGCAAAACGCTAGCTTCCACCACTGCTGTCTACAGTGAGTATGGCAAGAAAGTAACACAAGCATAATAAAATATGCAGAATGACTCAATTATTCAACACCATGAGGATTTAAGGATAATCACTAGATATTTTTTTGGTTGCCCAGAAAAGTTCATGAAAATGCTCATTCTTTTCAAATGCTGATGGCAGGCTTACCACAAAGATGTGAACAGTGCTGGTTATATATGTATACATATTACAGTTGATCTGAAAATGTATTCAGCTAAAATATTCAAGATGCTTCAAAAATAGGAAACACTTAAATCAGTCTCTGTAGCTGCAAGGACTTGGGATCAGGGCGATTCCTATCAGGTGAACAGCAAGGCACGTGTCAAGGGAATGAAGGAGCTATGGCTGTTTTTTGTTTTGGTTTTTTTCTCCAGTTTTACTCAGTTCATGCCAACTTTCAAGTAGTGGAAAGAGACAGACTGAATTATGGTCATTTTCCTCCTTCGGGTTATATCTTATTTAGACTTTCCAGATTTTCTTTTATCCTGATTTCTTAATTTATGTAATTTTATCCTTATATTATATAATTTCTCAGAGTTTCTACATATCAATATAGAGGGAATAAAGAAGGGTATAAAGAAAAAGTGAAGCACATAGAAAACCATATTCCTTAGCCCAGCACAATGTTCTTTAGCAATTTCACCTTCATCTGGGGAGCTTAAAATTTAGATTCTGCTTATGGCCAAAAGAGGGCGCTCTGGGACCTAATGCTTGTACCTACTGTATAAACACCTTACCAGAAAACATTATTATTCAACATTTTATTCCTGTGTTTCGAGCCCTTCACATGCTTGTCACTGAAAAGTCATCGTTGGAGACCAAGGACAAGAAGCACAGTATTGACCATTCAATTATCTATGTCATTCTTCCCTGTCAAGGGAACAGACCCTATTTTGTGCCCCATAATTTTTTCTCCAAGATGCAAACCTAGGGAAAGATTTGTTCTATATTTGTCCCACAGGTTCCAGGGGTTTCCTCTGAACTCACCAAGAAAGAAAGCAGAGTTCAAATTACACTCAGATTGTCAAATATTTTCTCTGATGGAAATCTAATCTACTGATGCTAAGTGCTTTATTATTTTTGAAATCACTCATTTATTCACTGCTCTATGCATTCCACAAAGATTTGTTAAGTGGCTATGGGTTGGGATTACAAGGATTATTAAAACGGTTCTTGCTTCCAAAACTCACACTGGGGGAGGCAGACATGAAGCGAGAGAACTGAAATGATCTCTGGTGTGCTGAGATGGAGGAACAGCCATGAGACTGGAACAGAGGAGGAGAGGGTTACAGGTCTCTTGAGACTGCGGGAGGTTAACAAAGGAGGTGACACTGGAGTTGAAGCTTCGTAGGAATGTGCTTAGGGAGCAGGAGTTGATGAGCCTTTCAAAGCAATGGAACGGCTTGAAGCACGGTCTGTTACTGTCATATAGGGGTTCGCCTAAATTCTCAGTGTAGCCCAAATCATTGCTAACTCCCAGTGGTTCAGAAGTAATTTATCTCTCGTAAATATCAATAAATGGGTAGTTAATGAATGCTTATGTTGTACTGATATGGACACTCTTTGGTTCCCAATGTCTATGTTAAAAGTGAACAAACACTTTCTGTGTAGAGCAAATGATAAATAGTTTAGATTTTGCAGGCCCTACGGTCTCTGTTGCAATGACTCCAGCTTGGCCAGGCACAGACGCAGTCACAGGCAGTATGTAAACCCATGTGTAGCTGTGTTGCAATAAACTGTTATCTATGGACACCGACATTTGATTATCTAATTTCCATATTGTATTTCATGTGAGATGCCATTCTTATTTTGATGTCCTTTTCAAACATTTAAAAACACAGAACTTATTCTTAGCTCTGGCTCTACAAGACAGACAGTGCCCAGTGTGGTCACCTGCTGTTAGGAAGGGTTGTCTCTAAGCAGCACATATTTAATGAGGACTTTCCTATTAAACTTCATTCTCAGCAGGGCAAGTGGAGAATACTAGCAGAAGCCCCTCTGTGTCCTGGGCTGCTCTGTGTGAAGAACACAACAGGGCAACAGGGTCTGATGTCAGCACCTCGCCTGGCACACGAACATTCTGCATGTGCTCTGAGCTTGTCCTCAGAGAGGCGGCGGGAGAAACAGACTGTGCTGGCATCCTGGCGATCAGAAACCAATAGCATTTCAAAAGACATGTGGAACCATGATTAACAATGCCTCGAAGTACCTTGGAAATAGTAAAAACCAAACCAGAAAAAAAGCCAAACAAAAAAAACCCAAACTACTAAATCATGGTTTAAAGTTTGATTTAAATCTAAGTGTGCCTTGTATATCCTAATTATACTCATATATGGTTAGTGTTAGTCATGAGAACATGTCCCTCCTCAGGCCTAGTAAGCAATGACTCGCATGTCTCCGACTGCCCTGGGCTAACCTGAGATGGACAAGGCAGTCCTTCCTTCCATCTCCTGAGGCTCTCCAGGCCAGCATTTCACCCCCACCATTCTCGATGAAATGGGAAACAACTGCATTAAAAGTGGGCCTTTTCTCTCGAAGGAAGCAGTGTCGCAGAGCCTGAGTGCTCATGATCTTGTAGGGCGGTGGGTTGGTCTCCTGACCCCTGGGGGCTCCCTCAGCCTGGGAGCAGCACCCGAGCTTGTGCTCGGTGACTTACGTAGATGACCCTGAAGTGTCTGCAGGCCCAGTCATCCTGCTCTTCCTCCGAGAGCATCTCCACGGTGATGTCCCCGTAAGCGATGGGCTCTTCCGTGAAGGGCCAGTAATGGTCACATTTCACCTGAGGTGGAAATAACATTCTCAAACAAACGAGCCAGGGAAGAGATGAAGTCTGCGCTGCCTCGGGGGAAACAAAAGTCCTGTGTCTGAAGAACTGTCTGTGCTTACTGTGCGGTGCAGTCTGGAGCCAGAGCGGGTTCTGGTGCGGGGCAAGCACTCAGCTCGTGGCAGGGGCCGCTGCTGAGTGGGCACAGCCCTGAAGGCACTTACCCTCCTCTTCTCGTTGCACTGAGTGAGCATGACAATAATCTGAGACTTCTGCTGGAGGACCATCTTCCAAAAGTCATTTCTGGTTTCAGGCAGTGGCCCCTGTGTGGCAATATACTCCTGGGATGAGTTGTATCCCTGAAAGATAAGTGGCAAAGCTGTCACCTAAGGAACCGATGCTGTTCTGCACAAATGAGAGAAAAACCTGAAAATGTACTGGGGATAAAACCTGGCAACGGATCGCCCAGCTCTGCAATGTGTTCTCCTGTTCCCGTGGGCTAGGCCGCTAGAGCAATGGACTGTACAGGTCTGTGTGATTTACGTGCAATTCTTGGGAAGCCTATAAAATCGCACCCACACCTTTTTTATGATAACAGCTACTATCTTTATAGGTATTTTAAAACGCAGGTGCTCAGGTGCAGCCCTTTGAGTTTGGCTGCCGAAAATATTTAAACAGAAGAAAGATTATCTTTAATATAACGATCTACTGTTTCCACTAGTTCTTTACAAGGAAATATTAACAGAATCACTCTCTGGGCCTTTTCCTTTCCTACTGTTTATTCTGAAATGGAAAAATGGAGACTGTTCTCTAGTAGGAGAATGGCTTTCTTTTGAACTGTTTGCCATATCCCTGTTTCCCTAGTGGTTGTCCTCTGCCTGGACTGGAATTTGGGTGCCTGCTTTACTTTTGTTTTACTTACAGGAATGTAGTTGGCATTGATGTAGTCTGCACCTTCCTCTTCATTCATGGAGAGTAATCTCACTCGGCTAAAGTCATCTATAAAGAATGAGAAAGGAAATATTTAAGAAATCAGAGTAGAAAGAACAATTGTCTGGAGCCTGTCTTCCCCATATTCACTCAAAATGGTCAGTGACAGAGTAGGCAGATGAAGTTTCTCTTGGCTGGATATGTTAGCCACCCCCCAATTTTAGTTTCTTGTTTAAACAAATATATAAATATCTCTCAATCACTATTTTCTCCCACCAGCCCTCCAGTCCTTGGAAAAACTAGCTCCACGTGTTTGGGGAGATTGTGCAGAATATTTACAGAAACTACAGTTTCTGGGAGATTGTCTGGAAGGCTATAGCATGTAGCCTGACCATGTGATTTCCATCTCACAGAGGGACATCCACGAATTCACTACCTTTGGGAAACCTACAAGAGAGAATGGAGTCACGTGGGCTTTTTGTGAATGGACTTCACATGAGAAAAGTAAATTCTGAAATGTGTACAGATGTAAGGTGTTGTAATGATCATGCTGCCTAATATTAACAAGAAAACTGTTGAAGGAAAAAGTTCTCTTTCTAGAGTTTTTTCACCCTCTCTCTTTCCACTTTTCCATTCTTTCTCCACTCCCCCTAGAGTATAGCAGAGAGGAAAGTTAAATCTATATTGAAATATATTTTAACTGTCCTGTTAGTACTTTATATTACTTTTTTTGAATGTTGCTTTTATTAAAAAATACTCAGCAGCAACAGAACTTGCCAGAAGTTAGAAAGAGGAGACATTTTAACACATTGAACTCCCTTCCCATTTGCTTCTTTCCATTGTCAAAGACTAGACTGAAAATATTTTATGAGAGCACAAATTATCTTATCCCTAATTTGGCCAAGACGTTTGATTACCAAAGGGCCAAATAGTCAGTTCTTTCCTGTTCAGATGCAATTCACTTAAAAGTGTAATAATTACATCTTCCTACACACAATAGGATCTAATGACATCAGAGCATGAGTTCGATAAGAGGTGGCCTTGAGGATGCAGACCACAACTGGGTCTGAACAGAGGTTGGTGAAACTGATTAATCTGTAATAATCATCCTTCAGCCTTTGAAAGACTTGAGTCGGATCGGCACTCTTGACAATCTTACATGGTAGGATGTTTGTGTAACGGTTTTTACAGCGGTTCAGTGGAAGGTCTGCTGCAAAGTGTGGAATATCCAGTCCAATCAATTTCAACTCCTGCAAGTGACAGAATAGATTTTAGATTTCCGTACATGGTATGGACTGAATTATTGTTCACATTGGACCATACTTCGCTCCCAACCCATAACAGAATCAGCACACACCCTTTGCCATGTGATGCTGCAGAGATCCTTTTTGGGATGGAGCATACTTCTCCACCCCACTCTTTTTTTTTTTTTAAGAATTCTGAGAACATTTGAACATTTAAAAAATATATATGTCTTTATTGATTTCAGAGGGAGGAAGAGAGAAGGAGAGCGAGACAGAAACATCAATGACGAGAGAGCCATTGATCAGCTGCCCCCTGCACGTCCCCGACTGGGGATCGAGCCCACAACCCAGGCATGTGCCCTGACCAGGAGTTGAACCTCCATCTCCTGGATCCTCGGTTGATGCTCAACCACTGAGCCATGCCTGGATGGGCCCCTCCCACTCTTGTCTGCTTGCTTGGGTAGAACTAATGTCCAATAAGAAACCTTAAATGTGCTTCTTTGGTTTAGTTTGCTCTTTTGTGTTTCTGCCATCTGCCGTGAAAAGAGCATGACCAGGGAAGCTGCTAGTCCCTAACTGAGGAGATACATGAAAGGGCCCTAACCCTACCCATGGCCAGAAGCATAACTGTCCCTGCTAAGCCACAGACCCGCGGGTGAGGAAAGTAAACATCGTCGTAGGTCACTGAGATTTTGATGTTGTTTCCTATAATATAGCGTTATTGCAGCAATAGCTGACTCTACAATACATAACTACTTGGGGTGGCCTGGTGATCATTCAGAGAAAGTGAGGATTATATGCATAACACGCAAGGTGTGGAAAATTTGGAAAGAGATCCATTTCAGACTTTTGGAGGTCTAGGGTAACTGAAATGTGTGCAATTTGCATAAATAGTTTCTGTTCTCTGAGGAAATGTCGATTTTTCTCTTTCAGTCAATGAGCCTTAGAGAAAGTAGTAAAAGAGAGAGTGAGGAGCAATGTAGGCGTATTCTTCATGTGACAAGATGTAGGATTGACAATCTCTAAATATATGGTAAAGAAACCTCAAAAATAAGGATGAATCAGTAGTGGATAAGTGAAACCATCAGTGAAAAAAAGACCATCCAAATACCTGCCTGTGTGTATTAGCATTCCCATAAATCCTATCATCAGAAGGTGCAATGAGTGAGTGATTTTTCTATAAACTGACAACCATCACACCTCAAAAAGGTTATGCTACTGGAAAAGGAGGTTTCTAACCTGTGTTGTCCTGTGTCTGGTAGGAAACAAGGGTTATAGTCAGACCACCTGCTTTTCCCTGGGGGGCATCATTCAAAGTGTAGTCTGTGTGAATGGTGCCCCCTGCAGGACCGGTACAGGACACGGCCAATGCAGCAGATCTAGTTATGCCCCTCAACAAATTTGAGGAAAATATTAGTAAACAGCATGTATAACCGTCTACAAATGGGATTATCTATATAGTAATGCACTTTTCTATAAGACTATTAGCAGGCAGTAGAGAAGCCATTTGTATATCCTATTTACTCATATAGGATGTTAATATTGCAAACAAGTTTTACTTGTCATGATTCCTCCCAAATATTCCTTCAATGAATCATAAGCTGGAGGAATACTTCTTAGGGGGAAGAGTTTTTGAGAGTCTCTGAAAGACTTTTGAAGGGAGCTGGAGACATTCAACGAGGTTTTGAGAGATTGAACAGCAGTATCTATTTCACTCCCTTTGTGTCTTGATTCCAGTGCTCTTTACAAAGCATATGCCTCAGAATCTAGTTCTTGAAACTTCTTGGGCTTCCACATAGAAAGCCTCCTTGGTAGCTCAGGGTGCATGCTTAATGGCATTGTGATGACCATCCACACGATGAACTGATTGATATTGTCCAGACTTCTCTGTTCCTTTGCGTCTGTATCACTATGACTTTTCTAGCTCACAAAGTCTCAAGCTTTTTGGCTTAAATTGAAGCCATTGTAAAGACAAACTCTGCTAATTTTGATCCTCAGTTCACAAAATTACAAGTTTTTTCATCTTAAGCAAAACCCTTGCTTATCAAATGCCTTTAAACAGAAGCTTGTCACTGCTACTTTATTACTGGTTTTTCCATTTTAAAGGGTTTTCAAAGACTGGCTATATTGTTCTTGTAAGAAATGAAACTTAGTTTTAGCAACTTCAACTACATCAGTGTTAGGTTAGTTCCTTTTGGCAGCTATAAGCTTATTTAAATGATGCTTCCATTGTGCAAAGTATTTTGGAAATCTACTTCCTTTAACGAGTGCCTTTATAGATAGCTTGTCAAAACATCTGGCTCATTTTGGTGTACCACTTATAAACAGTAGGGCCTTGGAAAAGAAGTTCAACTCTCATTAACATCAGTTTAATTATTTGTAAGATAAGGCTATAATTTCTCCATACCTCATTGCTGTATAGTGACTACCAAAAGGAAATATTGAATTCAACAAATATCAGTGCAGTGCTATAGATAATGGTTGTAAAATGTGTTTGTTTCTGCTTTGCCTGGCTCCACAATTCTCTCTCCTTTGCCATTTGTCCTAACAGGCCAACAACTCTTCTCCCAAGTGCCCTGCTTTGAGGACAGACTGATAAACCACAGGAAAGGGCCTCAGATACAAAAGAAATGGTGGAAAACAGATTGCAGCAGAGAGCTGGAGCACATATGGAAGCTGACTAGCTGATAGAACTTTAATTGTGAGCTGCCTCCCTGCTGTAAATGCCCTAAGTTGATAAGAGAGGTTTAATTGGCTGAACACTGTAAGTGTAAATTGCCAGAGCTGAATTGCAGCAGAGCAGGGGCCCGTGTGTATACACAAAATGCTCTGCAATCTTTTGTATTTCAGCTGGTTACTAAGTGGAACATAGAACACAATGTTTCCAGTTCAGTAGCTTTGCAGTTGTTTTCTTTCTAACCATATGGAATCTCCAGAGGCTTAAATCTCCAGAAAGTCAAAGCATGAGGGGATGGCCTGAAACCAACATAAATCATTTTTGAATTTTCTCTTGCCAGTTTTGTTTCTAATATAATTTATCATCCCATGGGTTGTTTTTTCCAGGCCACAGAGTCATCCATATGAATGGTGGTCCCCCAATAGATATTTCTACATCTTAACCCCCAGAACCTGTGAATGTGGCCTTATTTGGAAGAATGGTTTTGCAGATGTAATTAAGTATCACGAGAAGAGAGCAATTTGTATTATGCAAGTAGGCCCTAAATCTAATGACAAGTGTTCTTATAAAAGCTAAGAGAGGGGAAGGACATATAAAGGTGGAAGCACAGATTTGAGTTAGGCAGCTGCAGACCAAGGAATGCCTGGAGCCACCAGAACTGGAAGATTCTCCTTTACAGCCTTCAGAGCGAGCATGGCCCGGCTAACACTTTGATTTTGGACTTCTGGCCTCTAGAATTGTGAGAGAATAAATTTCTGTTGTTCAAAGTCACCAAGATTGTGGTTATTTGTTATGGCAGCCCTAGGGAACTAATACAGTCATGAAGGCCCAATGGAAGTCTATCTTGTGTGGCTATGTTTGAAGCACGCAAGAAGACAAAGCACAAATATAAGCACTGTATTCATCTGCCAGGGCCACCATAACAGAATACCATAGGTGAGGTGGCTTAAACAACAGAAATTTATATTTCACAGTTCTAGAGGTTGGGAAATCCAAGAACAAGGTGCTGGCAAGTTAGATTTCATTCTGTAGTTTTTCTTGGATTGCAGATGGCCACCATCTCGCTGAGCACTCACATGACCTCACCTTTTTGTGCTCATGGTCAGGGGTGGGGGGAAGAAAGAGCATGCTCTCTGGTGTTTCTTCTTATAAGGACACTAATCCAATCATGAGGGCCCCATCCTCATGACCTCATCTAACCCTTATCACTTCCTGAATGCTCCATTTCCAAACACCATCACCCTGGGAGGCTGGGGCTTCAACATATGAATTAGAGGGAACACCTTCAGTCCATACAATGTACCATCATCTTATGAGAAGAGCACGAGCTGTATTCTAGCTTTAAAGTTTGTAGCAATGTCAGGACATGATAAGCACTTGATGTGTCTTTTTTTGGGATAGGTTGGACATTAGAGTCAGAGGAGCTAGCTTACTAGACTACAGAACAAGTTAGTTGTGACGAGTGCTGTTGACAGAAGAGTTTCCATCTATGGCAAGTAAAAGTCCAATGGAATTGGGTAATATCCAGTTACGTTTCAGGTAAACACAAAAGGAGAAGAAAGGATTTAGAACAAGGTATTTTAGTGACATTCTGTATTAGTTTCCTAGTTCTTCTATAACAAAGTAGCATAAACTGGGTGGCCTAAACCAGCAGAAATGTATTGTCTCATAGTTCTTAAAGGCTAGAAATCTGCAATCAAGGTGTCAGCAGGGACCCTCTGCAACCTATAGGGGAATCCTTCCTTGCCTCTTCCTGGCCTCTGCTGGTTTGTTGGCAACATTTGGTATTCCTGCACTTGCAGTTGTCTCTCTCCAATCTCTGCGTTGTCATCACACGGCAGTCTCCCTGTTTGTCTCTGTATCTTCACATGGCTGCTTTTCCTAAGAACACCCACCCTACTTTATTATGACCTCATCTTAACTAAGTACAACTTCGAATGACTCTAATGCCAAATAAGGAAGAACGGGGTGCAACAGTGATGGGATCTGGGGCAGGTGAGGGAAGATGGCTAAGGTGAAAGTGAACCTCAGGAAGGCCTAGCTAAAGCTACCGAGGTCCTGGGCTCTACGATGGGATTTAGGGGCAACACTCCAATCACTGGACAAAGGACTGGTACAGGCCATTGGAAAAGGGACCAAATTAGGAAATTAAAAATGAGAGGAAAGGAAACTCAGGTCTAGGAACAATGTAGGGCCGATGGTGTGAGAACTCTTGGAGAGGGTTCAAGCGACTTCCTTTCAACAAAGACTGCAGGTAGGTCTCTAGTGAACTGGACTCACACACAGGTAAAGACAGTGCAAATGGGAGCTCCTACCAGAAATCAGAGGTCATCCCTTGCGGACTATGTGAAAACTAATGTAGTTTTGTTTTAATCTTTGTAGACACATTTCTGAACAAAGACCGCTACGGCTTCCACTAGCATCCCGATCAAACACAAAGTACAGAAAACAATGGCAGAGTGAGTAGTATGTGTTATTCCTCATGGGCTCTCAAATGTTAAGCTCTAAAGTCTGGCTCTTCAAAACCTTCTCCATACAAGACACAAGAAAGGAAGAATTGAATCTAATCCCTGGTTCCCAAACCTCTTTAAGAAAAGATGTATATTTTTGTTAGGAAGATAATCAGTCTTTCTAGTAAATACAAAATCAGATGCAGAGTAAAGAGGAATTTATTCAGTAAATGCAAATTAGCAACCTGTATAGCTTCATGTATGACTGATAGATGTACTGGTTATATATGTAAATCCAGACATTAGTTTCAATTTGCATAATGCTTACACATGATGAAATTTCTCTATATGACTGTGATCTTTCAATGTCAGAATCAAAATGAATACAACTATTAAGCATTAATATAAACAGAACAAATGACTGTTCCTCTACTGTATTTAGCTAGACCAGATGATTAAGCCATCTTAACATCCTCTTGGGTTTTCATTACAGAAGGAAACTTTTTTTCCCCTTAAGCCTCAATTAATTATCAATTTCAGGAAAATTCGAGGGCTGCCAAGTGAAAGATCCAACATGTACCCTGAAATCAGCTGTGGGAGCACAACGTGTCTTTGAAAATAGAGAAGGAGACCCTGACACGGAACCTGAGGATGTGGGGTGGGTAGGACTGGGGCCTGGCAATATCTGGGAAGCTGTTAAATGAAAAAGGAAGTGAGTCAGATGGGTGTGTCACTCCTTGAGCAAATGTTAGTCCAAAACAAACAACTTGAGCTTGTGACTTAAATAAAGCAGGCTTTTGGAGAGTAATTTGTATTTTCTCACCATAGTAAGGATACAATATATCAGGACTTGGCACCAAATAATTTTATTTATATATATAATGACCAATAATGTTCTAAGAATGAGGATATATGAAAAAAATCTTCATAATAAATAAAAACACTAAATACTTCTTCAAATCATGGTGTGATAGATAATTTCATATGTCAACTTGGCTAGGATCTAGTGCCAAGTTGGTTGGTCAGACAACCAGGTCTAGACGTGTATAAGTATATTTTTAGATGTGATTAACATTTCAATTAGTAGACTCTGAGAAAGCAGATTACCCTCCAAAGTGTGGGTGGGCCTCACCCAGTCAATTGAAGGCCTTAAGAGGAAAGACTGAAGTACCCCAGGAGGAAGGAATTCTGCTTCCAGACTGCAGACTTGGATAGTCGCCTCTCCCCAGGGTCTTCAGCCTGCTCTACAGATTTCAGACTTGCCAGCTCCAGCATCATGTGAGCCAATTTCTTAAAATGAATCTCTCCATCTCAATTTCTCTCAGTCCTATTATATCATCTATCTACCATCTACCTACCTACCTACCTACCTATTGATTCCATCTCTCTGGAGAATCCTGACTAACTCACAGGAGTTATGCAGCGTCAATGCCTGCTTGTCTCACACGTAGTCCAGTGCTGTCAGTGGAATATTGTCTCGGGACAATCCTGTTATGTAGGACTGTCCCACTTATTGAAGAACATTTAACATCCCTGCCTGTCTCCCCACTAAATACTATTAGTCGCTTCCTCCCAAGCCATAATGACAACCAGAACACATTCCCACACATCTGAAAACCCTGCCTAGGAAACTGCCTGGCACTGGCCCCGCTGAGAACCTCGGGTTCAGGGCAACCTACCGCTGTCTAAATGAAGAGACTCAGGCGATGAAAACTTAGATTTTCTTTTCCATATGAACGGTGGTGAGGACCTAGGTGTTTGAATTCGCAGTTTAGTACTTTCCTATCTCCTTTATAAATTCTATTAAATAAGCCTAGATGCATTTATGTTAACATTAAATTGTATAAAAACCCTCAACATATTATAAACCGAGCAGTTATCGCATAAAATTTACAAGTCTACATTGCACATTTTTGAAGCATCTACTGCGAGCATTGAATCCCTCACTGTTTGGTTAGCCCAGTGTCCTCACTTTGAAAATGACGTGCTCTCTCCTTTGATTTAGTCACTGCTTCCACTAAGAGCTGTCCTGTCCTGAGGTGATTCTGCCCCCCTCCCCCCCTCCCCGGCTGCGGTTGGTTTGAGTGGACGTCATGGCCCAGGACAGCCAATCAGAATCCTCCCCTTTCATTTTTCAATCTATGAACAAGAAAGAGAGTCAGTAGTTCCCTTTGGAAACCATGGAAACCATCGGATATGACACAGGGGTTTTGGTGGTCGTGTCTGCCCCGGAGACAGAGGCTGGTTTACAGGGAAAGAAAGTTAAGGCTGAGACAGAGAAGCAGAAGTGAGAAATAAAAAGAGGAGGTGTCTGCAGGGGTGTGGCCCCTGGTTCCAGCCAAGCTTGTGACAGGGCTGCTTCCCTGCCCTCCTCCCCGGTTAGCTACCCATCCTTTCCCTTGATTACAGGACAAAACGTAGCATCCTTTGAAAAAATTCACTTTTTCTTTGGTCTAAACCAGTTTGAATTGTGTATCTGTCACTGACAACTAAAATAATCTTTCCTTTTTACCAAAAAAATGACTCATTGAATTTTTTTATAGTGATGCAATTCAGAAGCACAGTAATAATTACACGGAAGTTTGGTGGGAGGTGCTCCTAATCCTCCCAGCAAAGGCAGGATGCAGCTGTGTCACCAAGGTCATCTAATCTTGGAGAAATTAAGAGGCCGTGGCTTCAGTGAGGTTGAAAGTGTACCTACATCATCATTTTCATCACCACTATCGAAACTATCTAGCCACATTGTTTATTTTTTCTAAGCTTTGGCTTATGTTTTTGTATAAAAGTCTCCCCCTTTCAGTGATACACTTTTCTGAAATGCCATCCTCACCACAGATCTCCAATTCAAATTGAGTTTCTGTTCTTGGAGAGCCAGCATTTGGTGCAGCATCGATAATGTCTTATGCACCTGCGTGCAATGGCCGGCGGCGCCAGGCTCTATGTGGTTTCTCGTGACACAGATGGTGGTTGGGGGCTTTGTGTCCGATAACATATAAGGTTCTTCTCATCCTTCACTTCCCTGCTAGAATTTCCACCAGGACCCCTGCTGCTCTTTGCAGACCAAAGCTGTCCTTGGCTGGTGGGCGGAAAGAACAAATGAGGAGAGAGAATAAGGAGAAGAGTAGCTACATGCTCTATAACCTGGTATTTCACAGGAAACAGCACCTTTGGGGCTTAAAAAAAAATCTACAGTATTTAGAAAAGTCTCTTTATCTTTCCCTTTCCTCTGGTTTCCCTTGGAAAACCTGAAGGACATGCACCATCCAGGCTGTGTTATGTGCTGTGAAATGTGTGGGAAGAAAACGTGAGGCCCAGGGATAGTCCTCGCACTGCTGAGATCCAGACCTACTCACGTCCATCCACCCTGGCACATGAACTCGGACTCAAACAAGTGCGTGTGCTTCAGAAAAAAGGGGTGCTGCCAATTTTTTTCTACACAAACCATGTGTAACTCTCCCTGATTTCTCCAAGAAAAGGAAACAAAACTTCACAAAGAAATATTGAGTAGAATGCCAAGAGTCCTGCAGGTATAAGAGCTCCACCGTGGACTCTTATATGCCCAGAAGACAAACGGGTCCATGTCCTCCCTCATTGCTGTGGCCCAAGTGGCATGAGAAACACACTGAAAATCTCCTGAAAGTGAAACTCAGTTTCAGATCTCAGTCGTCAGCTTGCTTTCCCCTGCGCTCTCCATCTCCTTGATTTTCAGCGGTGGCTTCTCCCGTAACCACACCTGTTCACCCCAGTGCCTGCACCTCCTTTCCTTCATTTGTGCCCCCCACCCCCTGCCCTGTTAACTAAGAGGTGACAGCCTTTCTCTGACCCAGCAGATCAGCCATCCCTGAGCCCAGTGACCACCCTGCTCACTATGCACGCTCATCCCAGCCGCAGCCCAGTGAGCAGGGGCGGGACCCCAACCCAACCTGCCCGGTCCCGTGTCCCATCTGCCCCAGAAGGCAGGGTCTGCTTTACTCACTCACCTCAAATTGAAGAGAAAATTTATAGTCGGAGTCTTTGGCCATATCCCTGATGTAGGCGTCAAAGTCATCCAGTTGAACAGGGCTTTGTCAAACGCAAAGAAATGCATGTTTTAAAGATCCTACCAGTAGGCATTTAGCACTGTGCTTCTCAAACATGAGCAGTTTTCTTGGAGGGGAGCAGGGTGGTAAGGAGGAGAGGAAGGAAGCGTGGAGGGAGCGGAGGTCAGCAGGACAAAGGTTTAGAGGGGAAGGGGAAGGGAAGGGGAAGGGGAAGGGGAAGGGGAAGGGGAAGGGGAAGGGGAGG